TTATTCTGCAGTGCCCAAATGCTAATGGCCAAGAACAGCTAAAAATCCCAAATATAGACACAGAGGGGCATGGAAAAGCTGTAATAAACCCCAAATATAAATATATAAAGTCATGGAAAGCTGCAATGAATCTCTTTCAGTCTCCCTTCTCCCACAGGTCACTAAATCTGTGTCTACAACACAAGGAGGGTGTGGGGAACAGGCCACAAGCTGTACAAAAGCCTTTTCTCTCCAAGTTCAATCAAAAGGACAACAGCAGATGACAGACCCCTTGGATCCTGTGGTATTTTAGGCTGTCACAGCCCTGTCACAGGGACCTCCTGCAGGGCCAGGGACAGAGAGGGCTCTGCCAGCCAAGCTAAAGCCAACAAAAATACCTAATGAGTGAAGAGCTGGGAAGTTGGTTCTGTCTGGAGGAGCATGTGCAGGCTGGTTGTGGGTATGGAAAATTCATTCCAGAAGTGCCACCACATAAAACTTCAGATGATTGGTTGGGCTAAAAAATTTACTATTTAGGTCACTATTTTTACTTCCATTTAAAGTATTTGGAGGAGAAATTATATCATTCCCCCTTATCCTCATTTTCTCCCTGGAACACAGGAAATTCTGCTTTACAGCCCAAACTCTGGCACTGAGCTGTGTCCTGCAAGCTGCTGCTCTGGCTCTTCCCTTCCTGCTTTCTCTCCCTGCTAACTTCCACCTCTCTCACCCATTCCACAGTTTCCCACCTATTTGAGCTGCTCCCTCTCCAGCTTCCCATCACTGAATCCATTTGGTTGCCCTAAAATATAAAGGGCATCCCTGCAAATTAATTAATTGGGGGGGAAAAAAAGGCCAGATGGAATCTATCAGGTGAAAAGGGTGGCCACACCCCACAGGAAGAATGAAGGTAGAACAGACCTTTCATCTGTGATCATGGAATGTCAGGATGGTTTGGGTTGGAGGGGACCATAAAGATCATTTCATTCCACCTCTGCCATGGGCAGGGCCACCTTCCAGTAGAAGGTGATGGTACTTGTGTCCAGAAAAAGCAACGCTGAGAGGAAAACTGGAGTTCCAGCACAGTATAACAGTCAGCTCTTCCAGGTGTTGTTCTCCAGGTGTGATTTGCTTCAGAAGAGCCTTCAGAGGCAGCCTGGAGAACTGAGGAATAACTGACCCTTGCTCTGGGAAGGAGGCCAAGCGGAGCAGCTGGAAAGGTGCAGTGCCTGTACAAACATTGGGTAATCCTTGCTGGTTTTCTCCAGGACAATCACAGCCTCCAGGCTTGATGTCATAGAATTCCCATGATCAAGTACCTGCTAATTAAACACAAAGTATATAATTATTAAAGAAAGCTACCTAAACTCTTCTGAAAGGGAGAGATCCTGCTGTTCCAAACTGAAGGATTCTTGTCTTGGATTCTTAAAGACACATTTGTGAAAAAATGTCCAATCCAATGTGTTAAATCTCATGAGAGAAGTGCTGTAGTTTCTTTATTTGACCTTCAAGCAAAGCTGAAGAGGAAGCTATAGGAAATGCAAATATAATAAAGGAAATGTCCTCTGAAATGTGTGCCTGTAACTTCACCTGTATAAAGGGAAACTTGCAAAGGAAAATTCAATATTTAATAAAAGTCTTCTGTAATTAGACTTGGTTCCACAATCTTTATTCCAAAGAGAAGTATCGTGATGGATTCCAAAGAGAAGTATTGTGATGGATTAACTCTGATAACTCTGGCAAAGTTCAAGATTCAATAAAAATTGACTTGGTCTCATAACCCACAGCTGACTAACTAAATGCTGCGAAGGAAGAGCTCAGGAAATGATTTTACAAACTCCTGTGTGGCTGAAAAATCACCACAGTGAGGATGGTGAGACCTGTCCCTTCATCAACAGGGACTGGGATGTTCCTTCCCAATGAAAATCCAATACAGGATCATTTATAATACTTAGAGCAACAGGATGGTTCAAGTCCTTCTCTATTCATGGGTGTCTTCACAGAAAAGCACCACCCAATAGTGACAAAAATGTTCCTTCATAACAGGAAAAAGCCCAGAAGCTCTGAATAAAGCATTAAAAATACCCTTGTTGAAGTGTAGAGGTGTCTTCATTTTTAATTTTTGAATAAAACTTCCCACAGAGATTTGGGAAAACTTTCAGGAGTTTCTTATATTTGCATGACATCAGTGCAAATCTGTGATGTCCAGGGCATATGAACCTCTCACAGACAGTCTGAGCTTCTTCCAGAGTTGTTCACCACCACCCTGTGCCTGCACAGCACTTTTGGTATAAAAGTGGAGTGAAAGGGTCCTCCAGGTGCACACCCAGGTCAGATCCTAATTAACATCCATGTCCTCACACCAGGCAAGTTGGAAATAACACAGAGCTCAAAGCAGTAACACTCTGCAAAAGCAAAGCCTGGAAACAAACCCTGTTGTTTCATTAAACTTAAAATACAATTTGACTGTGTCATAGTGAGGGAGATGAGCTATCTGCATTAAATTGTGTTTAATTTCACTCTAGAACTATAGGGCCCAATTAAAAATAATGAGGCCTGTCTCCAACTGTCAGGCTCAATTAGAGCTAATGGGAACTGAGAGCTCCTGGAATAGATTCATTTTTGTCTGATGGACGAACTGGGGCAGGGGTCTTGCCAGGGGTCAGTGGAATAGACCCGGCAACAAAACATGGGTCATTCAAGCTTAAGGAGTCTTAAGGAACCTAGTTATTAAATAAGGAAGTAGGAAGGAAATCAAATCCAAAAGCACATGAATAACCCCAACAGATTCTTTTTTTTTTTTTTTCCTGGTACATACCCCTATATTTTAATCCATCCATTAAACTGCCCATTATAAACAAAATATATAATCCATAAAGGTTAAACCTATTTGACAAGGTCACAAGAAAACTAGAAAAAGAAGTGCCCAACTTCATTCCAGTGCCAGTTTTCAGGAGTTTAGCAGGACCAATATTTTCCTTTGGAAATGCTCCAAAAATTGTAGCAAAGAGCCTTAACTTTTATTTTCCATACGAAAAATAAACCCAGGAAAAATAATTTGAATGTAGCAAGAAAACAAGCTGTTATGAGAGACATTATGAATGATAAATTGATCTCTTCCAGTTAAGCCTCAGCAATAAAACCAGGAAAAATTGATCATCTCTTCCTTTCAAAACTGTGATGGGACAGTCAGACAAATTCAGAAATGAAGCCATTTGTCCTTGAGGAAACATGAATGGGCGACAACTTGGAGGCACTAGACAGTAGCTGTCACTTCCCATGAGTAATTAATCCTGAGGAGAGGGAGGTGTGGAGCCTGTTGCCTGTTTACTCTGCTGGAATGACAGCCCGTGTGTGTTCACACACTGGGCCCTGGTGGGATGGGGATGTCTCCCAGGAAAGCCTTTCCCTGAGCAGCTGTTGTCACCAGCAATGACTCTGAGGCTCGTGTTGGGCAATGCTGACACGCCAGGCCCTGGCTGGCCCTTTGTCTCTCTCTGGAGACACCTTTTTAATCTAATGATATCTTTCTCAATGTCTAACGCTGCTCGTGCAACGCGCCGCCCTCAGCTCCTCATCCCCTGCTCCCCTCCCCCCCGGCACATCCCGGCCTGCAAAGCCAGGCTTTGCATTTTAAATCTGTGCTCTGGGACTTCTGAGTGCAGAAAGAGCAGGTCAGCCTCTCCCCAGCAAGTTTTGTTAGGAAATAATGGGTAAATTTATAAACGAGACACGTTATTTTTATTCATCCTTCCCTTCCTGCACACCAAGAACCTCATGAGGGGACTCTGTGGCCACATTAGAACAACAAACAGAATCACAGAACCACAGAATCGTAGAATATTCTCAGCTGGAAGGGACCCATATATATCATGGAGTCCAACTCTTAATGAATGGCCCATAAAACACGTCATTGCTAAAATACAACCTAGGGTTGCTGGCAATACAAAGGATCAATGTTATTCCCTTCCCCCAGTGTCTTCTCATGGTTGAAAGCTCTGAAAGACTCACCTCACCTCAGGTCTGGGTGAAAACCTTCTTGACTTGGCCCAATGGATGTGCTCAGGTGGGAATCACCGTAGGGAGGAAGATCTTTGGGGCCTGAGCCACAACTCTGCATTGGTGTAAAACTCACAACAGGGCACAGATTTCAATTAAAATCCTTAGATACGGTCCAGTTTCAAGAAATTCATATAAAGATGTCTCTATTTCCTCCAATCTGAAGGATATCCAGCTCAGCTCGTGCAGCACTTGGGAAAACAGAAACACTGAGATTTTGGAGAATTCTTTATTTGCAGCAGGTGTTACCTGCACCCAGTACAGAAACTGCTCTTGGGGTGCAGAGCTGAGTGTCCCTGGTGGGAAATCAGGTGTAAAGTACAATGTCCCATTCCTGGAAGTGCCCAAGGCCAAGTTGGACAGGGCTTGGAGCAACCTGGTCTAGTGGAATGTGTCCCTGCCCATGGCAGGGAGCGGACTGGATGAGCTGTAAGATCCCTCCCAACCCAAACCATTCCATGATTCTACAAGTACAAATGTGTTTAAGAAAAGCCTCCTGATTATTTCACATCTTAAAATTTTAAGTTTGGAGCATTACATAGGATCACCTGAGGGGTTTAAACTTCACTAGAGACAGTTACAATTGTGAAGCAACAAACCTGACACTTGTGAAAGTGTTATGGGTGTGACAAAAGCCAGGAAAACCTGATTTAATGTAGAAGCTCCATGTTCATATGACACTGAATTATTCCTGTTTCATCTGAGGGCACAGTGCCATAATCCAGATTTTTCTGATATTTTAAATTAAAGGCTGAGCACACAGAAGGGCATTCAGAGTCAAGCATAGAGAAGTGTTGAGAAAACAACTGGTCACCAGTAAAGATAAGAACAAATACCTCAAAATTTGATCTGCCAGGTTGGCCAGGGAGAACATTCTGATGCTTAATAGAAGAAAATAAAATCACTTCTCCATGCAGCTTGTGAAATGGCAATAAAATCCTGTATTTATAGAGCGCTGAAGGAAAAGCAAAGCCAAGTGCCACCTGCTAGATTTTAATTTCTGTTTATCAGATCCCACATGGAAGATAATGTTATCTGTGGCTAGTTCTGCCTCCCTCATGAAACCAGAGATTTTTTTGGCCCTCAGTGGCCAGTAGGAGATTTCTGGTTTCTTTTAGATGTCACAATAGAATCAGCTCTGTGCAGCTCAACGGTGTCATCTCTCCAGAAGGGCTCAGAATGGGTTTGTTGACTTCCTTCAGCAGGTGCATCCCTGAATCAACTCCTACTGCTCCACAGAATGCCCTTAATTTGGTATAAAGAGCGAGATGTTGCTATCACTTAAATCTGAAGACTGTCAGCACTGCAATAATCAGACGTTTATCTTACGCTGCCGTTTGGAGGGAATTCCAAATACAAAGAAACTCAGCAGGCAGTCCATGGACTCGCCCTGGCCCCTTCCTGAAAAAAAAGAAAGAACCTTATGGGAGGAAGAGAAAGAGACACATAATTCATCTGGGAGATACCAGAGGTTTTTCCTGTTGAGTGGCTCCGGTTTTGCCCGGGAGCAGCTCCGGGGTCCCGTCACCCGTCGGTCACTTTTTACTGTAGAAGGAACCCCCAAACAATCAGTTCCTTCCCTTGTGACAGTAACCCAGGGAACAAATCTATGATGACACTGGTACATGCATTCGTGAACTTCGTGGCCTTGTAGGTCACTGGACAAATCTCTCTAAACTGAACTGTTGACAGTTCTTTGCAGGGTTCCCCACAGGAAACCCAAGGTTAATTGACCATTCTTTCAAACCATGAAATGCTTTTGAAAATGTTAGTTTTAAGTCTCGGAGCCTAAAAGCTGATGAAACAGCGTGTCCGTACTGGGGTGTCTTCTAATTACTGAAATGAAGAGTTATGGGCAGGGGAGGTGCAGAAATGGTTTAATTAGACTTGTGTGTTGTGGAAGCATGAAACAATATTCACCACATTGTGATATTGTTCAGAGCAGAGATGCTGAGGGAGCAGGAACCTGCCAGAGAAGCTGTTCATAAAAGAACTGACGACTTCTTGATTATGTTAATTTGATGATGGCCTTATTAAGAGAAGGATCTTAGAGCCTTAGAAAAATACACACATTCTTCTCTTTGCTCATGTGGTCGGTCCCACTGACTCCAAAGGAATGAGCAGTGCTGGCTCCTGCAGGATCCTTCCACCTGGGAAGTTGTAGTTATGCAAGTCCTTAAAACCAGGAATCACCTAACACGTGAATGACTGGCAGGAAAGTGAATTTGCTTTATGAGGGATGATATATGTGTATAACTAGTTATATATTCAACCAAGATTCACAGAAGCCAGGAAGAAAATGGAAATCAATCCTATTGTCATGGATTCTGAAAGCTCTTTATCACACTGAATTTGGACTTTACACTTTCAAGTATTACCCTGACACCCTATGAGTGTTATTGTTTATTTGAGATAAAATATGTCTGTGTATACACTGAAAAAATGGCAGAAATAGAAGCAAAGAAAAAATTGTGTGGTTTTTTTAAGGCTTTTCTCCAGCAACCTTGAGGAATGTTTTATTTTAGTGTCTCTAGTCCTGGTTAATAAGCCTGATGTGATCAAGGAGATTCAAGTTCTGCAAATAATAATTAGAATACTAAGAATAAGAATTTCCCAAAATACTTCTGTAATTAGTCAACATTCATTGCTTCTGCAACAAAAAGGTTGTATATTCACTGAAAACAATTAGCTCTAAAATCTCCTTTTTTTTTCTTTCCTCACTTTTCATCTGTGAAGAGGAGAATTTTTATGTGAGCACACATGTTGATAAAAGCATTCACTGCCATTATCTGCACTATGCAATCCATGGGAATCTGCTGACAAAATGAGGAATATTAATTGAGGAAAAACTCATTACTATGGTGAAAAAATAGGTGAGACCTACACAGGATTCTCTGTACAGTTCTTCAGCTGTAAATAAACCATGGACTACAAAAGAGCAATAAAGAGACCAAAAGTGACAATTTTCTGTGCTCTGTGGCTCAAGTTGCCTCTTTCAATGACAAGCTAGATTATAAAATATATCCATCAGCCAATAGCATATTGATTTCCCCCCATATTTGAAAAAAAAATTATCATTTTCAAAGAATTTATTTATTTCACCCCCAAAATGCAAAATCAAAGCCTTAATACTGTGTTGACATAGTACAAGGATTTGTTCTCATTTCATTGTCGAAATTTAGGACATTGAATTAATAATGAAATTAATAATTAGACCATTAAAAATTCAGGGGGACAATAAGTTTTTATTACAACCTTTTACCCCTTCCTGTCTTAAGGGAATATTGTCTCCTGCACATGCTGCTCCTAATTGTCACACACAGCACAATATCTACAGACAACAGCATGGTTCAAGGAAGGAATTTTTTCTGACTTCTACAATCTTGTACTAAGCCCTGTATTTCTAAAAGTGACTATTTTGCTGGAGGCTATGTAAAAATACGCTAAAACTACATTTCTCAGAGATCACTTTCTCATTAATGACATTTTGAGGGTTGAAATCTCCTGACAGCCTGTGACAAAAACAATTCTGTTGGACATTTGAAGTGGTGGAAAACACACCAGCCAACCAGAATTCTCCTGTCACAACACTTCCTTCATATTATTGCATATAATAACTGCAGTGCACAATTATATCATCCATAAACTGTGTCTTGCCCCAAAATAGACAAATATCAAGGCAAAATATTCTCGTAGTTCACTCACAAAGATAAAACTGTGCTAAGCTTAGGTTTAAGTGGCTAAATTATAAATATATTGTCAGGTTCTGTAGGTATTGTCAGATTCTGCCTTGGTGGGTTGGTCTGGGGGCTCTGCCAGCTCTTAAAGCACACACAGTTCTGGCTCTGCAAGATTTCTGTTACAGGGGCAATTAGGAGCCACAGGTCAAGTTTCCAGGCATTTGGCAAATCACAGAAGGGTTTGGGTTGGAAGGGACCTAAAGCTCATCCAGTGCCAGCCCCTGCCATGGGCAGGGACACCTTCCACTCTCCCAGGTTGCTCCAAGCCCATTCCAATCTGGCTTTGGACATTCCAGAGACTGGGCACTGTACTCACACACCTGAATTCCCACAAGGAACACGCAGCACGATGGATTTTGTTCCTAAGTGTGAACAATTTCACCTTGAAATCAGTGAGGGGGTCAGATGGCAGTTTTAACTCCAACAACATCATCTTCATGAGGATGAAGATTCATTTCTTCCAGGCCAGACTTTCAGCAGTTCCCAGCAAGCAGGACAACTGTGTCCCCGTGGAATACAGAACAGCAGGCACTGTTTTAGGAACAGGGCAGTGAGGGAAGCTGCCAGACTGCAAAAGGAATCACCATTTGTTGGTGTTTGCTGCCTAAAGAAGCAATAAAACAAAACAACAACAAGAAAAAATAAGAAAAGTCGCAACTGCCTTAGGAAGTAAAAAAGGGATTTTAAAGGGAGTAAAAACAGGTTTCCCCTTTGTTTGTGCCACATTTTCAACAGTTTAAAATGCAGTTTCCCTGCCCAAAGCAGGCACTGGGACCTCCGGTGTGTTTTTCCTCACCTTCTCCATGGGGAAGGGCTTTTTGTCCGTTACATCCATGCATGTAATCAGTGCCTCTGCCTTTTGTCCCTCTCAGAGCCACCATCTGTGTGCTCCCGAGTGGCCAGACAGGGCTGAGCCCCCGGCCCGGTGGGATTAATCTGCAATTTCACACCAAATGATTTTTAAGTATAATTTGTTACGATACAGTATCCTGGAATAAAACAAACGGTCGGGGCTTTTCCAAGGGGATAAAAGGGGGAAGCTTGTAAAGTTTCCTGGGTTTCAAATGGCTTGGCCAGAATCCACTTGCACATTGGTTTCATTCCGATATGAATGCCCTGGGAAAAGAGCCCGTGGGGAACTGAAATAGCTGCTTTTTATTTCTGAGGGAGAGAAAACAACCCCAGATTTGGGCACTGGGAGGGGGGTGAAGTACAACACGATTCCCATCTTCATCAGGGACTGAGAATCTGCGGGATGAAGTTGCAGTTTAAAGTGTAAATAGAATATTTTGTAAGGAGGGGACTGAAGGGCTGAATTGTAAAGGCACTGGGTAAATAAAGGAGGAGCTAAAGAATCCTCTCTTTCACATCAAACAAAGCTGGCTTGAAATGTGCAAGGAAATTCTTCCTTTTTACAGAGCACTAAATGCTTTAAAATCACCACATTTCACCAAACAGGGTGTAGTGATCTGAGTTCACATCATTATTTTCTTCACATATTTTAGGTCCTCAGGCAAAGAAGGATGAAAAGTATAATCAGATAAAAAGCCAAGTGAGGAGCAGGAAGATCGAAGTGAGGACACACCAATGTCCCTTCACAGAAAAAGATGATGAGTAAACATGAAGCTGCTTTTCAGCCATTCTGGGTTCACCACAGACACCAGTCCCAGTCCAAACTGGTCAGAGGTGGGGGAAATATTTTGATTTTTCAGCCTGGCTACATAGAGGTTACCAAAGTCTTCATAGAGTTCTCGTAAATCTCTGCTTTTGAGGGTTCCTCAACTCTCCCTTGCTTGGTTTTTTTTCCACTTGTCTCCTAAAGCAAACTGGAGAGCTTGGAAAATAAACCAAACTTGTTTTATGATGACCTCAGCTGGCAACAAAATGAATTCAATTGCTACAGTTTAAATGAAAATCTATAGAAATTCACAATATTTTTGTAGAAATTCACACACAAGAAAATTATTGTCTTTACAAAGCAAATCCCTATTTTACCTGTGTGGTTTTATTGTGTTATTTATTTGCTACAAAGCAGTTACTCCAAAGAAAGGAAGAAACTAATTGCTGAACATTATGTTATTTTAAAGGCTACATGTGATTTTGCACGTCACCAAATAAATTTGACAGAAATTGGATGAATAGAAGTACCTAAAACACATTTCTCTGCTAATATTCACTGCAAAAATTACTTCAGTTGTGGCAGGTGAACTTGCCCTATTCCTTAGCTTAAATAAGACTATAAATAAAACCAGCAATTGTCCATATCTTGGGTTCCCTCATTTTAAAATTCACATAAAGGAACCCAGTTACTGTATATCAGAAGATAAAACACACTGATATTACTTTCCTGCACAGCATAATGCCTCCAGAGTAACAGTAACTGCTGAGAAAACACCTAAAACAAGGAAAAATCGGCTACAGCCAACCTCTGGAAATCCAGTCATCAGTCTGCAGTTTACTTGAATTCAAACTGAGCTGATGTGACACAGAGCAGTTGGCTCTGAGCACCCTGGGCTGGTGGAAGGTGTCCCTGCCCATGGCAGGTGGGATGAAAGGAGCTTTAAGGTCCTTCCCATCCAAACCATTCTATGAATTTCTCAGAGCAATGTCTTGTCCCGTTCCGTGTGCCTCCAAGGGCAGGGACTCACCACCCCCCTGTGCCCCGTTGCAGCGTTGGACCTCATTGTGAAAATGTTCTTTGTAACAATTTACTGGAATTTTCCTTGTTGCAACTTGCCATGTGCTCTTCCAAGTGTTTGGAGAACTAAGCCCTTAATCCCTCCCCATTCCAGTTTAAGCTCCCTCAGTGAGCAAACGAGGCAGGAGCCACCCTTTCTCCTCACCTGGTCTGATGTGGCCCTTCCAAGCAGGAGGTATGCAAATCACCTGGAGAAATGAATCCTGCATGGAATGTTCTGCTACAGGAAACCAGTCAGGCGAAAAGCTCCACACAATGGCCTGAACAGGCTCCAAGGAAGGCTGAAAGAAATGGTGTGCTTTGTCCTCACCCTTCCTGCAAATATCCAGCTCCAGGAATGCATTTTTTAAAATGGTTTTTAAGATATAAGGTAAGGATATAATGACTGTAAGATGACATTTTAATAACTCTGTAATTAAGGGAACAGTTGCAACTGTGCAAACTCTGTGCCTTAGGCTCTGGCAGTACAGAGACTTTTCCTCTTGTTTTAGTTCTCCAGATGTGCCTGGTATAGGCCTTGATGTATAGAAATATTGATTAATCTGCACTTCTATCAACAGCAATTAACAGAGAGAGGTTTGATGCTCATCAAAGTGAACAGATTCTCATTAAGAGCAGAAGAAGAAAGATCTCTGTCTTCACATTTCCTCCCCTCCATACTCTGTGGTAAACTGTGAAACACAAGGAAATACATTTATCATGAATCTTCTGGGGTTTCATCATCCAAGGATATTGGAAGTATTTCCACATATAAGCTTTGCTATGCAGAGCCCAAATGACCTGGTGTCATCACTGACCTCAAACTGCTTCTACATAAAAGCCATTTTCATAACAGGGGAGGCTGGTCCCTGTTTTGATGCCCAACGACCCTTTCTGTGAAGAAATTCCTCCTAATGTCCAACCCAAACCTCTCCTGGTCAGGGAGTTGCAGAGAGCCAGAAGGTCCCCCCTGAGCCTCCTCTTCTACAGGCTGAGCCCCCCAGCTCCCTCAGCTGCTCCTGGGGCACCAGACCCTTCCCCAGCTCCTTTCCCTTCCCTGGACACTGACAGACATCCCCAATGTCTGTCCTGTCATGAGGGGCCCAGAACTGCCCCCAGGATTTGAGTTGCTTCACCAGTGCTGAATAGAGGGGGACTATTTGTTTATTTTATGTATAAGTGTAGTTAAATAAAGGTGCCCACATTACCAGACCCTCAGTCTCCAACCTGGGTCCCTCCCTCCCACTCGCATCCCCTGGGCTCGCTGGGCTCTGTGGGTGCCTTCCAGGGGCAGGACCGTGTCCCCTCCACCTCTGCCCACCCTTGGTGGGGCAACTGCCCCTCGCCCCATGGCTGCAGGTCCATGGGGAGCCACCTTCATAGAATCATGGAATCACAGAGTGCTTTGTGGTGGAAGGGACTTAAAGTGGAACCTCCAGTTCCACCCCCCTGCCACGGGCAGAGACACCTTCCACTATCCCAGGTTGCTCCAAGCTCCGACCAACCAGCCTTGGACATTTCCAGGGATGGGGCAGCTACAGCTTCTCTGGACAACCTGTGCTGGTGCCTCACCACCCTCCCAGTGTCAGCGCTGCGGCAGCAGAACGGGCGGTGCAGCCTCCCGGGCTGTCCGGGCTCCCTTCCCGCTGCGGCGGCTCCCGGGCTCTTCCCGCGGCCATCCCGGAGCGGGACCGGCGGCGGGAAGGGAGAGGCGCGTCCGGGCGCTGCCTCCGCTCCGCTCCCCGCGGCGCCGAGCGGGGCTGCGGCCACCGGGAAAAGGGCCCAGGGTACCGGGCAGCAGGCTCCAGGCACCGGGCACCGAGCACCGGCCTCCGGGAACCGGACACAGGGTAGCGGGCACTGGGCTCCGCACATCGGGCACAGAGCACCGGGCACCGCGAAACGGGCACCGGGCAACGGCCACCGAGTTCGGCCATCGGGCAGCGCCCACCGCGCACTGGCCCCACCGCGCATCGGCTCCCCCTCCCCTCCCGCCCGGTGCCCGTTTGAGCCGGTGGGTCCCTCCCCCTCGTCCCTCCGCAAAGTTACCCGGAGTTGGGTTAGTTGGGTTTTTCCCGTTTATTTGCCCTGCTCCCCCTCGACACGCCCGCCCACCCCATCCCACCCCATCCCGGCCCCTCCCGGGCGGTGCGGGGGCGGTGCGGGAGCGGCGGGCGCGGGGCCGGCCCTGCCCGCGCTGCCCCGGCGCTGACCCCGGGCCGGGCCGCGCATGCTCGGGCTGGACAGCTCCGGAGAGGGAAATTTAAACCGGGGCCGGAGCGCGGCCCCGCCGGGCCCGAGATCAGACCCCGCCGGGCCCGAGATCAGACCCCGCCGGGCCCCCCGCCCGCAGGTTCGTGCAGCAGCGGCAGCGCCCGGCCCGGGGCGCGGGGGGTCGGCGCGGTGGGGAGGGGGAACCTCGGGCTCTCTCCATCTCCGGGCAGCGGGGCTGGGATCACCCGGGCTCCTTCCATCCCCGGGCAGCGGAATGGGGTTCTCCCGGGATCGCTCTATCCCGCGGGCAACGGGGTTGAAGAGCCCCGGGATCCTCCTCCATCCCTGGGGCAGCGGGGCTGGGATCACCCGGGCTCTTTCCATCCCCCGGCAGTGGGATGGGGTTCTCCGGGATCGCTCCACCCTCGGGTCAGTGAGGCTGGGAAACCCCGGGTTCCCCCTCCATGTCCGGGGCTGGGGTGACGGGGACCCCCGGCTCACTCCATCCCTGGGACAGCGGGGTTGGAGATCCCCTGGGATCCCCCTCCATTCCTGGAGCAGCGGGGCTGGGGTCCCGCTGTTTCCCTCGTTCCTGGGGCAACGGGGCTGAGGTTCACCCGGGCTCCCGCCTCATTCCCGGAGCAGAGGGGTTGGGAAATCCTGGCTCACCCCATCCCTGGGGCAGCGGGACTAGAGAACACCGGACTTTCTCCATCCCCAGGCAGCGGGGCTGGGATTCTCCCGGGATCGCTCCATCGCCCGGGCAGCGGGGCCGGGGTTCCCCGGTTCACCCCATCGCCGGGGCGGGCCGGAACCGCTGCAGCTCCCGCAGCTCGGGCTTCCAAAACGCGGCGGCGGCGGCGGCTGCTGCCTGGGGGATAAGAGCGGTCCCGAGGCGGGAGCGCTCCCTGCTCCCGGTGCTCCCGGGACCCACAGCCCCTGCCCGTGACTGTCCCTCCCTCGGCGGTCCCGCTCTGAGCCGGGATTATCCCCCGTGAGATGTTCTCCTGCCTTTCCCAGTACCACCAGTGCACGTGGCGGTGCCGCTCCCCGGCCGGGCCGTGCCCCGGTGTCTCCCGCCGCTGCTGAAGTGCTGGATAGCTACTGCTGCTGACCCTGCCTGCTGCTGCCCAAGGAGATGATAGAGAGTGATATCCCGGCCATAATGTCAGGAATCATTAGGAACTCAGGGCAAAACCACCACCCTTCCCAGGAGTACAGGTGAGGCACTTCTCTGTTTCCAAAGCGACCCCTGCACTGTCACATCCTGCTAACCCGTGTTGTTTCCTCCTTATTTCCCCCCAAAAATCCCTTTAGCATGTAGAAATCCACTTTTCTTCTTCTTTTAAAAAATTATCTGCATTATTTCTCCACTCAAAATAAGATTTCTAAGCTGATGACTGGTTACAATGCATTCCTTATGTAAAAGCATTCCTGTTTGAAAGATTCACAATGTGGTACAGTGGGCAGGGTGGGATTTGGATGGAGGTTGGACTTGACAATCTTGGAGGTCTTTTCCAACCTTCTGTAATTCTATGATTCTCTGATTTTGATACTAACCTATATTTAATAAACACACCTCCAAAGAGGTGCTGAAGGAGGGCTGCCCTAAAAGGAGGGCTGACCTCCCTTTTAAACTCTTTCTCCTGCACAACCTTTGCCAGAGAAGGATATTCTTGTTAAATAATTATTGAAAAGTTCCCTTTCAGATCACTTTTTGCATTGTTATGGAGCAGCCGTGGACAGCCTCAATAAGTGCAATAGGCACTAGAAGAGATTTTAATTAAAACAAGTACTTGTGTAGCCCTCCAAAGCACTGATATGTCAAAGGTCTTTTAATAGTGGTGGGAACAAACCTGGATTTGCCAAGAGCCTTTCATAATTTAATTTACCTTTGCCACTAGGCTTCCATTTATCATTTAAAAAGTATTGTTAGGAGTCATAGGAGAGTTCTGCATGAGTTACAGAGCCCTGGGTTATGTTAGGTTACATCTTGTCACATGATGCAAAGCTCCAAGAAATACAGAAATACAGGACACGATCCAGGGGGAAAAAAAATAAAAAGAAATTAATTTCTTGCTTTAAAATAAGGAGTGAGAGACTCCCTCCTCCCAGCCTTGGGGCTTTGTACCCATTTCTTGGGTGCAGGTATTTTTCTCTCAGCCCCCCTCCATTCAAAATGCAAACGCTGCAGCGCAGCCTCTTGCAGCTCAACAAGTGATTTGTTCTAGTCCCTGGAGCCTCTGTGGAAAAAGGTTTGTGGAGCTGTTTTGCTGTTTACGGAGGCACTGTTTGCTCTGGGCATTTTTCTTGGCTACGTAAATATTTGTAAAGAAATTATTCAGGATTTAATGAAGGGTGTGGATGAGAGGGGCTGCTGGGGACTTGGATTTAAGTCTGCATCTTCAGTGCCCTGCAGAACTCACCACCTTAACAAAGACCCTTTTTATGGGGAGAACTATTTCAGTCATAGCCACAGAAAAATCTGTCTTTCTGGGGGAGAAAGATAGAATTTTTCTTACTACAGTAAAGGAATTGCAATTTTCGTTTACTCACAAATCAGCTGCTTTTAAAAACTGCTTTGGATTCTCTGTGAAACATTTGGAACTCACAGATCCCAATTGTCTAAAGTTTTTAACCCACTTGTGGTTTTTTTAACACGGCTTTAAAATAAATTATTTGACCTCGTTTAATAGTGGCCAATTCTGATAAAAATGCATAAAATCTGCACTGCACCATAAATGCAGAGCAGTATTTGTCCTACTTCATGAGAAAACACTTTGGATTATGTAAAAGCAAATCTTTTAGACTGAATGATTTTAAGCAAAGAATAGACCTGTCAAATTCTATCAGCTCTGTTTACTCTCCTGCTGTCACCACAGTCCAGGGCTGGAACCCACAGTCCCGAGTTCTCCATGGGGGAGCATCAAGGCTCCACAAAATGGGGACTGGCCTCCAATTAGCGAGTGGGAGGCTGGGGCTGTGCTGAGAATACTCTTCTGTCTCACTTGGAATCTTTCAATGGGACAGTTGGACTCGGGGGAGCCCCGGCTTTTCCTGCGAGTGCCGGAGGAAACGCGGGAGAGGGAGGGAACCAAACCCTAAACACCCCCAGTCTGCAGCAGCTTCTGCTTCCAGTTGGAAACTGTGGGATTTAAATTTTTTTTTTTTTAGGATAAATGAGATTAAAAAGTCTGTGATTATAGCAGATCTTTGGATTCTGTGCATCCAAAGCGTCTGTAGCAAATTTGACGTAGCTCAGAGTAGTGATGAGACTTAAACTGCTTTTGGCTGCTGAGCAGAGTCCTGGGAGTGTTTGCACCACAGTGAAATGATTTTAGGCAAATATCTCCTCTGCTAGTGCAGCTGTGGGATATAAAACAGCACAGGGATGATTTTTCCAGGGTCACTGTATCTTCTCTGCTGCCTGTTTTTATAGCACTGTCACTGCCTGGCTGCCAGTGCAAAGTAATTCCTTATACTAGCAAATGCCTCTCTTACTTTCCTGCAGAAAATACCCCCACGTTTAGTATTTCCATCATCACAGTAGTGACAAATACTTCTAATTATTCCATTTTATTCCCATTCAGGGATTTTTTTAACCCTTAACACTTTATCCTTGTTAATAATAATTAATAATTTAACACATTTTAGTGTCAACATTTCAATTTTAAATCAAAAGTTTTACTCCAAGTTTACTGTGCAGTGGTGGCTCGTGGTTGTTTCTGCACAGAGATGTGTAAATTATAGGAGCCAATTCAAGGCTGTTCCTGGGGTCTTCCATGGGCTGCTCTCTGGGAATCCAGGTTCTCCAGCTCCTGAACACTGCGGTATTTGGGCAATATTTTTAACTGAAATCTGGAATCTATCATTCTGATTTTAAAATGTGATTTAATATAAATGACCAGAATGAGAGAAGTAAAAGATGTGCTGTGGGGGTGCCAGTGCAGAGTGAGGTTTAATATGCAGAGCTCGAGCAACAGAAGCCCCAGGCGGGCCTGGACTAAGACTGAAAAACACTCACAGACCAAAGTTCTCCCCCACAGAAAGGCTCAGTGTCATCCTAAATCAACATTTTCAAATGCAGCAAATATTTCTCTGGGCCCATCCCGTTCCCAGCGACATACAGTTGTGTGTGGTTTATCACATACTATGTAATGAATTCATGACATGAAACCCAGGCCATTAGAAGGGAGACAAGGAGTATTTTGCCTTGGATTATTTGGCATATGTGGAAACCCAAATTTAAGGAATGAAATCATCAATCTATAAAAATGTGGTGTCTATATTTTGAAAGAGATACCCAAAATATTTAATACTATTTGAAGAAATAACATTACTTAGGATGTGAAGCCCTAGACCAACCAGATAAACTAATTTCGTGTTTTGCGGCTCAATATTTTGTGGAAGGACTATGTTTCTATTTTTTATATTATTATATATTTCCAGTTGACAGAAGCCTTATGTAGCATTTTGAAGGCCTTGCAATGCACTTTTTACACATGAAACAGGAATTAAGTTTTAAATAGATATATTTTTGATCAAAAAGTATTAATCAATCATTAATAATATGACATATTAGTAGACTATATTGTCCTTCATTTTATTTGTCTCTTTGGTTCTTAAATAATTGGTCTCTATTCATTAGCTCATTAGACAGTCTGATAAATTTTTGTTGTAATTACTTTATTCTTGCATAGTTTAGTGTAAAATCAGATTAAGAGGCTTAGATGTACGAACACAGGGCCGCTATATTCCAA